ATATTAGTAAAATGTGAGGCTAGACTGAGTTTGCAGGGAAGTTAACTAAAAGCTTGTATCCCTTGTGGTGAAGTTTCATGGAAATCTGTTATTTCTTAAGAGAGGGTGGTGCTAGAAAAAAAAGGTCAGGAGGGCACCAAAAACATTAGGAAATCATCCTGTAGGGACCGTGGATATCCTGGAAATCCAGCTATTAGTTTCCAGTATATCCAAATCCAAATTTAAGAGAAATCTAAGGGCCAGCAGTTTAAAATCTAGGACACTTCGAAATGGGATCAAACTACTGACCTGCTGATTGATTAGTGGCCAAGATTTTGGTCAGTCGACCATCATGGGGGGATATTTGACCCGATATCCTTTCTTGCCAATTATGAAATTCTGAAGAAAATTCTGAAGAAAATTCTGAAGAAAATTCTGAAGAAAATTCTGAAGAAAATTCTGAATCTGTGCAAAGAAATTGCTAAATTTTTAACTACTTAACATCAAAAAGAGTCACTGGCTGGCCTTCAAAGACTCATATCAGTCAAACTCTGAGACTAAAATAACTCCAACCTTTGATTCCTTCTACTTTCAGGTCAGTTCCTGTATGAGGAAGTGGGACTGGCAGAGCTTCCTGCACAAGGAGACATGAAACCCTCGCCCATCCTGAAAGTGAAGGGCCGCTCGGTGCCCGTGGTTCAGAAGAGCAGGAAGATATACAGTGGGACTCAGAGCGTGGACTGCTGGTTCGCCCGGAACAACGCGGCTAAGCTGATAGACGGACAGTACGAGGACTATATGTCGTCGCACATGTTCGACACAGGGGACTGGCCACACGGGACTAACAGAGTGTGAGACGACTGGAGCCGTGGCATTTATTTAACTCACTTTACTCTGTATCCCATCCCAGCAGATCCCAAACATTTCCGAATGCCAAGCCGTCACATTTCAGTTGTCTTTCTACCTACAGGCTCTTTCGAATATATTTTTGTACTATTTCTAATGAAAATTAAATGTTTTTTATTATATTGAGTGTATTATTTTTACAATAATGTTGTAATTGTAAATAAAAATAATTAAACCCACATTTTGAGGTTGTTTTCCAAAACATAAAGCACACAACCATCGACTTCGGAGTACTTTCTTCCCCCCCCCCCCATCTCCTCACACACCAAATATGTATGTCAACATGTCTTAAATGTGGCAACCTCGAGCTGAAGATCACACCTGGTTACCACGGAGACCAACCCCGGTAACTAACCCCTTGTCCCAGCGTCAATGACTAGACGCACGCCCAACACACATAGCACACAAATACACACACCCACACACCGCTCCATAGTCCTCCCTGTCATCAGCTGGAGGTCACAGGGCTGCTGGCCCCGCCCACACAGGTGTGCTCTGGCCGGGGTCCCGCTCACTTTGTCTGTCATCGCGCTGCCTTACCCCGTCCGCCGTAGGAATTCAACACCCAACACCGGTTCATGTGTCAATCATCTTTATTCGCACAGACTAAAGAGATACATTCGGTAAGAAGCACCGTGGCAGTGTACAGCCTGTTAATGACACTTCAGGCTGTGCTGTGCCATTTTGATCCACATGTTCATTATTTGGCATATTGAAAAAAAAAATAATAATACATACAAGATACATTGGAATACAAAATATAACATTACAGACGGAGTAAACTGTCTCTGCTTTTAAACTGTAAAAGTTAACAGGAGAATGGAAATGATGAGAAACAGCAGAATATATAAAGATGGCATAATAAATTCATACTGATCCCAGAGCATGTTTACCACCTGTAGTTTGGCAGCGACTTACTTCATACACTAAAAAAAAAAAAAACATCCTATTCCAATGTTGTTACCACAGATTGGACCACAATATATAAAGTCAAATACATATAAAATATTAACAGAATAAATAATAAAGATGTGCCATACCTTGCAAAAGTTCAATACAGAGCTACTTTATCAAGTTTACTACGATGGACAGTCGTAGGGGAAAGAAACTGGAGATTTTGAGAATAAAGTCGTAATGTTTTAAGAAAATAAAGTTCTAATTTCAAGGAAAAAATAAAATTGAAGTAAAGATATAACCTAATGGACAACATTTCAAGAAAAGGGGTTGTTATATTTTGTAAAGTATCGCTACCAAAAGGTCAGTTCTTATCACAAAACGTCACTTTTGAAGGAATATTTTGACATTTTCAACCAATTGTGCTTATTTGAATTCTTGCTGAAGATCAATTCCACTCTGATATCTGAAATTGTGAAACAGCTCGCCTACCTGTGTACAAAAGGTAGAAAGTTCAGGAAGTCACAGCTCCCGGCCAAGAAATAGTCCCCCATACGACCCCTCGTGAAAAACATGTCGTTTCTATACTTGGGATTTTGTACGAATTAAACAAACAATACATAACATGTTATTAAGTGAGCTATATACACTGGTGATTGATTTTATTACCTTCACACGGAGGAAGGCTAGCTGTTTCCAGTCTTTATGCTAAGCTAATCAGATGTGTGCTGTAGCTTCATATTTAGTGTACAGAGTGGTATTCATCAGAAAATCTCACTTTTCTCCCCCCTACAGTAGCTCTAATACTCCATCGTACACAACAAATATGCGTATGATTTCAGAAACATAGTGTAACCTGGTCCTTTAAACCATGACATAAAACTATTTCCTGCCCACATATAATTCTTTTTAAAAGCAGCCTGTTGCAAAGAACTTTTCCACAGAACCACCACTTTCAACATGTTTGGTCCGTCATGACTGAGCGTGTGGTTTTAAGAAATAAGACCATTAACCACCTTTCAAACTTAGCCAGAGGGAGAGAACGTACAGGAATGACTATAATTACAAATTAAAAAGGTGGATTTGCAGTGATTATATTTGACCAAGTAAAATCTTAGAGCACATATATATATATATATATATATATATATATATACACATATACTTTACTCACTTGCTCCTCTTTGGAATATGATATGTGATAAATTACTCTCTTTAGAGCAACATCATTCCCAAAAGTCCCCAATGTGGAGAAAAGACAGATTTATTTCAGTCTTTGTCATTACCACCCGCACATTTTGCCCCGCGGATGGTACTCTCCCTAATAATCTCTCTCTGCACACACTCAGTTGTGGTTACTCTGATGTTGTCTCGCAGCAAAACGGAGGCAGCAAGGTGAGAAGATAAAGAGCCTCTAATTCCCAATATGCTACTTGATTTATATGCATACACTGAGTCAAGTTGTAACTATTCACACCTTCAGTGCAGAGGAAGGCAGCTAAGGCTGTAGTGTTCACATTCACAGGTTATATGACCTTTAATTGTGCCTTCGCTTACAAGGAAGCTGATAGTTAGACCTTTAATCTGAGGAGATAAGGATGCAAGGTTTTTTTTTTGTATGTTTGCTCATATTCAGGCTTTTAAGATTGTGTGTGGATAGTGGAAGGACGGGTAGGAGGTCACGTCACCTGGGTTTACACCACCACCCAGCTGGGTCTCAGTGGTCCTCCAGAGTACTGCACGTGAGGGGCCGGTCCGACGTCACCGGGCTCTTCTTCCCCCTCTGAAGCCTCGTCTGTGTCCGTCTCGACAGTCAGCAGGACCTGAGAGAAGAACAGAAGATTTTGATGGATGTAGTGGTTTTCTGCCGTTGTATGTTTGGATTCTGCTTCGCGGGAAAGCTGGGAAACAGTTCTGCATTCCCGACCTAAAGTGGAAAATATCACAGTTTATTCGCAGCCTGGAAGACACTTTCCAGCAGCAGCAGGCTTTCGAATCCCGAAGGAGCAAAAATTCCACAACTCTACGACATTTACGGCATTATAAACCTCCATATGTTGTTTTATGTTCGGGTTTGACATGTGGAAAAGCTGAAGTCCACTTTAAAGAGCAGCACAGATTCAGATATTGGGATAAAGACAGACGGGGTGTCTTGTAGCATTAGGGGGCGCACACACTCACAAGTTCTGTATTAACCAAAGTTAATATCCAACTTACATTTGGACGATACCGGGATACTAGAATCTGATCATCTCCGCTACAGCCTCGATGTCACAGGCAGCAACACCAGCCACAACAACGGCATTGTGACCACAGCTCCGACCGCCACCCCCACCAAGACCTCATCCGAGTCAATGCCTCTCTATCTGTCATCCTCCTCCGTTTCACTCTGCTTTCCATAACATCAGCGCGTGGAAACAACTCCTAAATGTCACTTTTATTCCCGGGATGAAGGCAGTGATTTATGGCTGCCTGGCAGGCGACCAGGGAAGAGGGGAAGAGGAGGGAGGGATAAACACTCTCATCCCACTCAACACGAGGGTCATGCACCCTAACAATCATCTGTCAATCTTTCCTGAGAGAGAAGGGGATGACACAGGCCTCTGTGCTGTGTGAAGGAGGTGGCTACTGAACTCGCTTCCCTGAACACAACAACTAGCCTGTTAACAGTTTCATCAGTCCAGATAAACCAGAACTCAACCCAAAACTCACAAGAGCCGATCACGTGGGCATCCTCTTGGTCAATGTCACGAGTTAGATTTTTGTTGCATGTCATCACCCTCTATATTTTTATCTTCGTTTCTTTTCTGTCCACAAGCACGTAAAGACAAAGATGTTGTAAAAATTAAGCTGTGAACAACTTTAAGACCAACACTGCTTGGCCCAAAGTATGTGGATACCCTAAAAAATATGTGGCCACCGAAGATTTACACTCATAATGTGATTGTTGAACATCCCATCCCAACATTGTAGGCATTAATCTGTTGCTGAAACAGCCTCCAATCTTCTGGTTTCAGGCCGATATATAACGCTAATATCAAAACAAAGAAAAATAATGTGTAATGCAGGCATATGTTTCAGCAGGATGCTGTAGAGAAGAGTTACGAGGCTCGAAACCAACTTTTTCACCACCTTCCCAAAACTCACAAATGGGAGCGCTGACATCCTTCTACAGCAGCCACACTGACAAGGCTGCCTGCAGGCGTGTCTGAAGATTTTTTTGTCATTATTGGCCTTGCTTATAATGTAAACAGGAAAGGACCCTCCCTAAACTGCTGCCACAAAGTTGGAAGCTATTGTCTAAAATATCACTGGATTCTGAAACATTAAGATGTCCCTTAACTGGAACCAAGAAATCATGAAAAACAAACCAAAAATGGTGTTTGCACGTACCTTTCACCCCGAATCTTAAACCCTAACTCAACAGCACCGAGGGAGGACAGTCTGACTCAGTCTTTCTTGGATTGGATTCATCTGGGTTTGTTCCTCATTAGAACAAGTGTAGAGAGAGGAAATCTGTATGGCGTGCGTGTCCCAAAGCTGTACTCATCCACCAAAACAACAGGTGCGGTTGACACCCAGCGTGACCGTGTGGGTACATCAACCATCAACACTCATTTTCACACACATTAAAGTCCTCTACCCTTCATCAAAAAGCAAAGATATTAAACTGTCACATTCTTGTTTGGGAACGGGCTTTAGCAAAGTTTTTCATAACATCAAAAGTAATCCCTTTAAAAGGCTAGTGAGTCACTTCCAGAGCAGATGGGCGCAGTCTGATTTCTCTAAGTAGCCTGGTAAGCGAGCCTTTAACTTATTTTGAGGGTGTTTAATTAAAACTTTTAGACATGGTAATGCTACACAGAATTTTAAATAAATACACAAAAACACAAATCAGTGGCATTTCTATAGAAATAATTATTAAAACATTCATATATTCTTTACACCCAAAACGCTCTGCAAGTAACACGATGGTGATTGAGCCTGATGCATTTGCAGTAAAATGCTGTAATAAGCTAATGTAAACCGAACATTTCCTAAAAGCATTTAACTGGCAAAACACAAGTTTACATTAATTACAAAGCAGTCACAGGAAATGTGTTTGTCAGTGAGATTAGTACTTATCGCTATCGTTTATAGTCATTTTGGGCATTTTTTGACAGCAGATCAGTTTGAAATATTGCAGGGAGTAATGTAACACGAAGGTTGGATGAAGAGCTGCCTTCAACTTCTTTTAAAATCAGAGAACAATTGCTTACAGAAAAAAGACCAATTACTGCCCGACTTCTTCACTGAAACAACCTTTTTGTTTTGCTGCCCCCAGAATTCTGTGGTTTTATGGCAGTATTAAACCGCACTTGCAGTTAACACCAGTAACCACAGGTGTCGCCAAATCACTGAAACCTTAAGCATTGCCACTCATTGCTCATAAAAAGCTGGCAAAACTGCAGTGTAGTTATTTACACACAATGGACGGAGAGCTTTTCAGTCACAATGAGATCTTCCGTTTGTATCAATTCCTAATTACACATCTAATGAACTCGCACAGACATAACATCCAGAACGAAGCAGGTGGTTTAATTACATGAGTGACTAAAAACGATAAGCAGCTGTTTCACAGTATAAATATCAGTTACTCTCACCCGTGACTCCTCGTCGTTCGCCCAGAGCAGCGGGTCAGCCTTCTTCACCGAGCTTTCACAGGAATCGTCCAGGCTCTTCATCGTCTTGTACTTCCTCATCATCAGGCTGTCCACCACCCAGAACATGATGGACTACAGGGGGGGAGGAAGGAGAGACTGGGGGTCACGGTTGCTTTTAGAGATAAGAGGCCTGAACTCACTTCTGGGGCCACTCGAACAACTTACGTTCACTATGAAGGGCACAATGAGCATCACCAGCACCAGCTCCAGCTGAGGGTTAGCAATGTAGCTCAGCAACACCTCCTGCAACTGGAAGAGACAAAAGGAAGGTTTAACAAACTGGAATCAGGCTGGTAACGGCCTTCTTTAGACAATAAGTCTGGTTGGTTTGAGCTTTTGAGTTCCACCTTCTAATGGTTATGGTTATGTTTGGTGTAAAAATGATTAAGTCTAAACACGAGGACAAACAAAACAGAAATCTTTCTAGGAAATTATGAAAAGAAAAATGAAGTTTAAGATATTTATTTCCTGATTCAGTGTTCAGGCTGTGAACAGTGGCTTCTAAAAAGAACTGTTAACTTTACCAGGTTACAACCTGACCTGACTCGGTCTTCTGCTGTGTAACTATGTGTTAATTGTGCATTTGTGTATTAACACGGAACAACTTCCTCCTTTACTTTAACACAATCATTTCCACGTGAAAGAAACAAGTTTTTATATGTTTAAAAAAGTAAGATTTTATGGCTTCTACAGAAATATATATATTCTATTTTGCCATAAATGGTTATGGCCTCTTTCACACCCCCTTTGTATTGCATTTTTCTAAAAATATGTCTTTCTACCTATACTATATAACTTTATAACTATATAATTTGCAACTTGTTTATTAAAAAAGGGCCATAAGTTGCTATTGTTACTTTATTTTACACCATGGGTTGAAAACCTGAATGAAACTTCCCTGGACCAGAACAAACACATTACTATTAGTAATACTAATATTTATAGTCAGAGTTTGTCAAAGTGAGGAGACGATCTTTAAACAGAGGAAGTACACAGAGAGCTTTACAACTAAAATCTCCTTCTATCTGGGAAAAAATAAATAGGAAATATACAAATAAAGGGCACTTCCTTAGAAAGGCCCCTGTTGCTATGACAAGGGATGCTGTGAATAAACAAAAATGATCCCCAATGTCTCGCAAACAAACTGTCGTTCAAAGACATCGACACTGTCTCCATTAGACTCAAAAAGAACGTTTTTTTTTTTATTTATCCGTTACTTGTTTATTTGCTCTCTAGTCTCGATGACTTTCATCTCTCAGCGCTGCCAGAAAATATCAAATGACAAAACCAAACAGAGCCAAAATAGAAAGGAGCGAAGACTGTGTACAAATCTGCTGCTCTGGTTGGGGATGTAAACATTTTCTTTTCACAATAAAAAACGACTGAAAATCATTCATGAGGTAATCAAAGTTCACAGGCTCGGCTCATATTCTAACATTTCCTCCTCCTTTTTAGTTCTTGGCAGGTCAAACCATGACATAAATGTATGATAATGTCACAGGATGCCATCTTTCCCGTAGGCCCTGAACGTGGCACAAGTAGCCGTGCGGTCTCCTTACTTTGGACCAGCCGGGGACGAGCAGCACCAGGCTGATCACCCCTTTCTCCAGCACCATGATGAGCAGGTAGATGCCACACTGACCCAGCCATGCTGCCGCCTGGGGAGGGTCGCCTGGGGGACAGAAGGTTGAAAAAACATCAGTAAACAGACAATCTCATATAAATATATATATAAAAACTCTCTATAAATATCATATAAGAGATTTAATGCACATCCATTCTTTTCATGTTTAAGATGAGTTTTTCATCTTTAAAAGATTTCTTTTTTTAACAGCATCATAACCTTTCAATAGTTTACCGTTTATGCATTTTATTCTGTGAAATTATGTCTTTTGCCCAAATTGAAAGATTGTATTCATTATTTAAAAGACAGATTTATTATTTCATTTTATTATAGTTTATTTATTCTCTTTAATATTATGTATAAAGATTTTTAGCTTCTGCATGTTTCAAATTGGTTGTATTGTGAGAAGTTCTTTGCATTAAATGACTCATTCAGTATAAATCAAGATTGATTTTTAACTAATGTCAACCTGCAATTAAAACACTCTGTAGCTCTAACATAATTCCATAATAAGAAAAGCTTTTACATTTCTCAGATGTGCAACTGTTCTGCATCTTGAGCTGGATATTTAACTCATGCCTAAACCTTTCCAAAGGGTCTGTTACAACACAGGTGTCTCACCACAGCAGACACAAAGGAGGACAAGTCTGTCATTAAGACAGGAAGAAGGGAGGAGGAAGACACACAGACGGACAGACAGAGACAGAGAAAAAGGGGAAAGAGAGACGGTAAAAGAAAGAAACAACCATTGGTCATTAACGGCTGATGGCCAAATGAATCTGAAAATATTAGCTTTTCCTTTAAACAGAGAAGTTAGATGGAGATCTAATCAGTTGCTATTTGTTTCAGAGATATTTCCCATCACACGAGGAAGGAAGGCACAAGAGAAAACAACAGCACAGTGAGTGTAATAACTGGCGTGGAGTTAATCCGTCTGCCACTGGGAATGTTTTCCAGGCGGGGTTGCAGCTGGAGATGCTGGCTCGCCTCCCTGTCCCACCTCCAGTGGGTCTACAGCGCCCTCCGGTGGTGGAAAACCAGAGCTGCATCAGTAATCTTCTCCCTCTTCCATCTCTCACATTCACAAATACAACTCCTGAGGCCATTTTAATGTTTTTTTTAGAAACCAGATTCTTTCACTGACCGTATTCTCCGAACATGAGCAGAGTCCACTGCTTGTACTCCACCAGCTTGGACACCAACTTCACAGCCAGCCAGATGACCAGCATCCCCAACATGGCGTCCAGCAGGAAGTTCATCAGATACCTTTGGCAGAAAGGGGAAATCACATCATGTGACAGCCAAACTTATCGTCTTATCGTGACTTTGTTTGTGCTCATCAGTAACTCACAGGGAGCAGGGGTCCTCTTTGGTTAGCGTGGACAGGAAGACGTTGGCAAAGTGGATGAAAAGAGCACCGATGGCCTGCTTGGATGTGTCGAAAAACCTGGAAAACACGAACATGGACCTTGTTAAACTTCATTTTTATGAATTAAACCTCTTTATTCTATTGTGCAGCATGTTTGAAAATGTCTTTTTAACCATTTTAATGTCAAGAAACCCCTAAGATGATATTCACAGGCTAGACAGACAGATTGGCTTATTTCACCAATCCCTGACAGAAATTAGGGTTTTCTTTATTTTAACAGACTTAAGTCGTCCAAGCAAGTGTGTCAAATGTAAGAATGTAGGAAAGGACGAAGTATAAAGAGAGAAAAGAAGAGAGATTTCTGACCAGATCCTCCACGGTCGTCTGATCCCTACAGGCTCCCGGAACCTCTTCACTGCAAACCAAAAACAAAAGTAAATCAATTAATCAACAAAAGTTCAAACTAGACTCGTGTTCATCCTGCAAGACGATAACGTGCAACACTTCAAAAACAGTGTCTGAGCTACACAGCGAGGCCTTGTGGCTCCGCAGGGCCAGAGGGAATCATCCTCATGCGCTTCACACCGCAACAGCGCTTCATTCCTCCCCACCGCGCTCAGGGTGAACAGATGCCCACTGTCTCTCTATCTCGCCATCTCACTGACCCTGTGACTCAGGCATGTGAAAACATCATAATCAGGGGCTTCCTGCAGGCGTGTTTTCAGCCATCCCTGGACTCTCCACAGCCATTTTGAGGACTTTTATTTATCTAGCTTTTTTTTAATGTTATCTGTTCAAATTATTGCCTGTTTTATTTATTTATTTTATTTTATTATTATTGATTATTATCTATTATTATTGATTTATTTTTTATTATTATTATTATTTTATCTTATTTATTTTTATTATTATTGATTATTTTACTTATTTTTTTTTTATTTATTATTATTATTATGTTTTTTTATCCTGAAGTTTGTTAACGCAAATAGTTAACCATACGTGTCTGTATATACACATAGGAATAGGTATGTGTATGTATTTTCTCTTTATAATAAAATATTATTTTTATGTTTGCGTTTTAGAATGAAGGAGGAATAAATACAATATTTTCAAACAGCTTTGGGTCTAGAGTATCATAATAATGGTTTTACAGTATAATCATTCATACTCTTCCAGACTTCTTCCTGTATTTTTAAGATGTTTTGAGCCATTTAAGGTGACTTCAGCCAAATCGCATTAAGTGATTAGTATTTGTCTGACATTTTAATTATCAATTTATCCTTTAAGTCATTCATCAGGCAACATTCAGGCCGGATTTGCTGCTTTTGCCTGTTTTATATCCTCGTAAACTGAACATCAAATAACTAACAGATCATCAGTCGCAGCCCTAGATCACTTCCAAGTGCAGATTTTGTAGTTGTGAGGATATCGGACAAACAAAAAATGGTAATAAACATACCAAAAAGTGTGTCTTTGGTCTCATGATAGAAAGGAATTGCACCAACCGGACATCAGAGTACGTTTCTCAACATTTGCTCTGAATGTCTGTTGGCTAACAAACGTTTCTCTTCCACTAAATTGCTTAAATTTAAACTGTTTTGTTTGTTTTCTGTTATCTGGATTGTGTGAGTGCAGGAATAATGACGAGTCGGTGGAAGGAAACTAACAAAAATAGCTTTGAGGAAGAGGGACTCTTCGGTGATCATATAGCCGAGGGGGCTCTTAATGCTCTGCTGCGCACAAATCATTTGGTTTAAATATTAACCAGAGCACAGGAAAGCCAAAAAAAGAGACAGAGGGGGAGAGGGGTATTGATTTCTTTACTAATAAGTAACTGAGTGAAGGTTGGACCTTATTGATCTCTCTCAACCCCTAAGGGCCTCGACTAATACTGCAACACTTCACTGCTCCGAGGCCTCGACTGCTCTGAACCCTCCTGCTTGATTAGACGGCACCGACCTTTTAAAACTATATTATTAGACAATACGGCAACACACTTATATGTGCAGTAATTGGCTTTTTTTTTAATCAACTGGCAGCTGAATAAAGTCAATGTTATCATGAATTATTCAAGAAAACTGATAGGAAAATAACTACGTAGCGTAAAAGTGATCCGGGAAGTCATAAAGGAAGTCATCACTGGATACACGGAGGTTGAATTTGAATGCATTAAAACAAACCATAAAGATATTTCTAAAGGGGCCTTGCTTGTTTTGTTTTTTACCTACTTGACCCAGTACCCAATGCCACCTTTCAGCATGTGGTGCCAAACCTGTTAAGATGCCCAGCATTCTCCAAGTCAGCTGCCACAGAAATCACAAGCTGTTTAGCAGTCAATTGGCACTGTTTGGAGTAAATACACTGTCTGGCTGTAAAGGAGCATCTTGTTTTTCTGTTAAAGACACTCAGAAACACTGTTGGAAGTGGCTGAAATTCTGGTATATGTCACTTTAAAGTGCATTAATGTAATAACTGCTGGTTACATTAATTAAAAACACACAGAGACACAGATATTAACTAATAAACTTTAAAAAAATCGATCATGGCATATTTCTTGAACAGCAGCCAATGTTCTGTTTGCTGCGTATGAATATTATATTTCACTAAATAAACGTGGAGATTGGATCAGTTTACTGTTGGCAAAGCTTTGTGGTTGTTAAAGAGCAACAACAACAAAGATCTGGGTCCAAAACTCATTCTTGAACTGGGAAAAGACTGTGACGACACTTCCCTTAAAAACATGGTAATTTATGATGGCGCTTTACTTATAGGCACATATAACGGTGAGGTATGGTATACCTTAATTATTTATGGTTAGTTTAGATCTTCAGGGGAAATTCGGCGTATAGATGTGCCACAAACCGCACTTAATTTTATTAAAATATGTACTTTTAAAAATGGTGCGCACACATCACCACCGCTCATAGAACTGCCTCTTATGTGGACGTGGAAGATGTTTGTGGCGATCGAAATTAACAGAAAAACTTCAATTAAATCCCAATATTTCGTGTTTCTAGTATCTAATTAACGCCGAAATAATTAATGCCTCCTTATTAGCCATGCAATGTGTTTAAAGTGTTTAATTTCGCTATGTATTCTTGTTGAAAGGCAAAGAAACATTAAATTAGCATATTTTCCAATGGAATTTGGTGCCACAGCTAAAAATGCTGTTGACAAACGTCAACAAAACCGCCACGTGGATCGGTGTAGCGTTTTTAAAAGCAGGTTTCTGTACTTTATCTTTTGTACATCCTCTCACACAACAGGTCTGCGGTGTCTGGAGCTGTTTTCAGGATCAGGTACTTACACATCAGCGTACTGAAGGCAACGATGGCGAGGAGTCCCTGGATCAAGACGCCGAACCTGTCGGTCAGAGCTCCGTTATCGCAGCCTTGAGGATTCGCCTTGTTGATGTCAGACATGTTTGTGACTTCAAACACGCCATTGTCCAAGAATCGTTTCACCAAGAAGACCCCGCTGTATCCGTACATGTCCATGTTGACAACGGTGATAAAAAAAACCAACAACAACACGGGCTTTGGAGACAAAAGGAGCTCTGTATGAAATGCCAAACGGTTCACAATTCGCCTGGTTATAAAGGCCCCAGTATGCTCGCCGCTTGACCCCTGTTGCGCGACACTGAGACGTCAAAATGACGTAGATCTCGCTGGCGCGCCAGGATTTTGCCAAACCGGAAACAGCAAGCTTTCCACAGGCATCTGTACGATCATTCAATGAAGGAACACAGAGATTCCAACATTCATGGCGAGAAATCATGCGTAGAAATAGCAAAGTCGGTAGCCTTTGCTCAGTTGCGACACCTCTGTTCAGGAGAAGACTGCAACTAGTGTCGCGACCACCATGCAGATAAGCGTCACCGGCGCTCCCGGTGACGTCACGTTGTCGCGCGACAGGTCGGCAGCGGCGAGTCTACATGACGCTTTAGAGTTATAGTATACAGTATTGCTATTCTGAATTTACATTCACACAAAGATGTAAACATGGACTGTTTCCTTGCTTGATTTATTTTTTGAGAATAAAGTCATAATATTATCATCATATCATAATATTATGAGAATAAAGTCGGAACGTTACGAGAATAAAGTCGTAATAATACGGGAATAATGTCATCGAGAAAAAAGCTTTGATAGAGTTATCAAGATCTGATGTGAGCAGCTCAACCAATCAGCAGCCTCAGCCTGAGCCCAGCAGCCGCTGTTTGTCTCAGTCAGTACAGTCAACAGGTAAACTAAAGTATTAATAATTTCATCCTTAAACAGTTTTGCTGGCTGAGCCAACAGGCTGACAGTTCTCATAATATTACTTCTTTATTCTCGTAATATTATGACTTCTATTCTATTCTGGTAATTTCCCAAAAAAATAAATAATTTTTTCTCTTAGTATGGCCCTAATATTCCGTCGTAGTCTGGCGCTAAAAAAAAAAAAAGTTTGTATTGTAGTGGATATTGTTGTAGCTGTCATAGAATGCAGTTTATCTTGTTATTTTGAATATTTTGCTTTCTGGCTTTATGTACGGTCTTCTGTCAGTTATTCTGTTGTGATGTTATGAAATGTTTGAATGTAATAAAACTTTGGTCATATAAAGTGCATTCTCAATAATCATGAAACAAACATACATAACACAAATATATGTTTTTAAACATACTGTATCTTCTTATATACATGTTTTTTATTATGCTTATATTCGTTTACAAAAATATTTTTTATTCAAACGTAAATTATTCTTATTTTAACTCAAATTATTAAATGAATATACTAAAACTTAGTCACTCAGTACTGGGATTAATCTATTCGGCATCACTGATACTTTACATCTTCAATCAATTTATATATAACTATATATATACATATATATCCTATTTTAAATCAATTTACTTCATAAAAATTAATCAGAAATCAGAGTTTAGAGCATTCGTTTATTTAACAGGTTTCATACAGGTTAATAGCATAATACTTTTTAAAAATGCTTTTTGCCATTTTTAAACTGATTTTTAAAAACCCCACCAATAACAGAATAGTGTCGATTGAGTGTAAATAATTTTTTCCAAACAAATGTCGCAGCAAAGCTTTGAACCAGGAACTTTTGGTATTTTTTTTGGAGTTGCCAAGTTAATCATATTTAAATTTAGACCAGAATTATAGACCACACTATCATATAACTGGAGATAGATATTGATAGATGCTAGATATATATGGTTATAACTCCAAATTGCATTGCATTTCAAAGTTTTTAACCATTGTCATTTGTTTTAATTAAGTTTAAAGAACAAGCAAATACATTAAAATAAAAACTTTAATAGTGTGCTCCTTTTTTATGATATAAACTGACTGAAAATTCAACAAGCCATACATTTTCCAACAAGAAGACGGCGGCTGCTGAGACCGGGAGAATTGTGACCCGTTTGGCATTTCATATAATCCCTTTGGCTTTACCTGCGTCATACACTCCGTAGCCACAAGGCCACGCCCCCTGTAGGATTCTCTCTACCGCTATGAGAGAATTAGGATAATTTGGGGATTTATCTTCTTTATTCCGTGTTTTTACTGGTTTTAATCACCGGGTCTGTTCGTTTTCGAGAAGAGGAGACCTCTGCGGATAATTCGGCTCCGGGTAAAAAATAAAAAACATCTCTAAAGGTCAGAGGAAGCAAACAAACAGGCACAGCGGCAGGCTCTCCGGACATCATGTCTACCGAACAGCGTCGGAAAAACACTCATTTTTAAGGTGAAACTTCTTTATTTTGTGTTTTACCGGTTTTAACCACCGGGTTTGTTTGTTTTTGGAGAAGAGGAGACCTCTGCGGATAATTCGGCTCCCGGTAAAAACCTCCAGGACAATGAATGAAGGAATCCTAACCGGGATTAAGCTGACGGCAGTGGCGAGGACCACAACTCCCATGATCCCACGCTACTTCTCAACGTCATCAAACTTAAGTGTTATTGTTATTGTTTTGATGTGAGAGACCAGAAATTACATATTGTATGTTTAACATCTAAAGACATTATTAAAGTGAACAGAATATGAAGACAAGCAAATATTCATATTTAAAAAAAGCTGAAACCTGTGAATATTTAACTTTCCCTGCTTATAATGAATAGTTTGACATTGTGGTTGATACTTTTATTCATGCCTGGCTCTGTTTAAAAGTAGCAGACTCCAATACATGTACTTCCTTCAGTGTTTAACTACTAATTTTAAGCAAAAAGTCCATAAAATAAACATTATTAATCACCATTTTCTGACTTTCCCTCTGATCGGGAAAATTAAAAAGCAAATTAACTGGTAACGAATATATACAGACAGGTGACAAATTAAAAGGAAACACGTAAAAGTGCAGATGCTTTAATAGAGGACACGAGAGGTAATTGAATGGTTTGATCAGAAATTATGTGAATCAAGAAAGTTGAGAAGCGTCACCAATTTGTATATATATATCTGTCTATGCATCGATCAATAACCTCGTCCCTCGCACTGTGATTAGAGACACCAGAAGAGGACAACCCACAATGAGCAAAATCATTTTAATCATCTTTTTTTTTTTCTTCTTTCTTACAAAAACATTTTCAGGGAGTCCAAAATTAAGCATTTTTACCCGGGAACATACAGTGGCGGCAACCATCCCAAAGATATTTTACAAATATCAAAGAAACGATGACGAGAGGGCCAGAGTGCGAGAGTTCCCTCCTGTAGCGACAGAAGCCGAAACACACAGCTGCAGATGCACGGTGTCTGTACGAAGATGGCGTTTTCGTTACGACACCCAGAGCTTTTAAATGTTAGGAATTGTCTGTTTTGCAGAGAGATTTTTTTTTGGCCATGCATCGGCCTAACCACATCTTAAACCCATCAGTAGCTGTTGTGCTTAATTTAACTCGAGCACTAAAAGTACTGGAGGCTCAGAGTGGAGCCATTGAAACTTTGAAAATGAAAGGGGAGTTATAAGGGGTCACCGTCTCTTTGAATACCGAGGGTGCACTAGACTCAGCGGCTGCTTAAAGAAACGTTTAACTGTTTGACAGTAAACCTTTAATAACGCTGAAGGAGCTACAATGCTTCCTCTGTTGGCCTTTTATAATTTTTTTTGTTTTTTTAAGCTGTGGTTGATAGAAAACTCAGAAAGCCCGTTCTTGTTCCTTGCAAGATGTGAGTGGTGCATTGTGGGTGGAAACACAGTAGCATTTGGCATCCCTCAAAAAGCTGCTCTGAGACAACCGCGTCCTGGTTTAGAAGCTCTTTTCTTTTTCTTTTCTGCTGTTTCTCTGAAAGACGAGTTGCTAACAGGGTCTGGAGGTGCTGTGTGGTGGTGACGAGGGGGGGTGTGTGTGTGTGCGGTGTTGCTGAAGGTTGGGGGTGTCAGTAGTCGTCTCCCCGGCTCACCACCTCCTTGCAGGTGGGCCTGAGCAGGATGGTGTGCTCGAACTGAGCGGTGTAGCAGCCCTTGGTGTCGCAGAGGGGAGGGTAGGGGTCCACGATGCCCAGGTCGCACAGGTTCTTCAGGGCCATCAGGTACTTGCTCTCGCCCAGGCGGTCCAGCCAGCGCCGGCAGAACGCCAACGTGCCGAAGTTCTCGTTGACGACGTTCAGCAGGTGCTTCGCCCTGGGCAGCCTGGAGAGGAAGGAGGGAAGTAAACGGTTATTTTAGACCAAAAGTTCAGTATTAACTCGGCTTGATACAAAAAACATACCCACCTGGAGTCACCACAGTCAAGTAAACGGCAGCAGGTGCACATATAGTACAGATACTCACATTTTAATTCATATAAATGTTGTGACTCCTAACATCTGTCACATTTTGACTGAAAACAACCTTTACTTTGTTCTCGCTCCCTTTATTGTTCTTTTCAGGACATGTAGTGTAAAAAAAGCATCTTACAACATGTCGCCTGATCGTCTGCACATTTAAAACACAGCAGATGTGTGTACATGAAGGGATAGGAGGAGCTTTGTCACTGCTCCAGGGATAAAAGAGCCCGGTTGGTGGGACAATGTGAGCCTGTGTGTGTGTTAATAGTATAAAATTTAAAAAAAAACGTATTTTCCTGGACGTCTGTGTTTTTCTTATTTCCATTTAGGATGAAAGTCTTGAGGCAAGAGCTGATGTTGGAAGTGTAACTTTTAATGCCTTTTTTTAAATGGATTTATGGACTTTAATCCTTACCAGCAGAGTGTGAATTATCTGTCCTTTGTGACTGATTGATGAATTATTTGTGTGATTTTTTCAGGTGCTTAGAGGATAATGAATAATCCACCTCCAGAGGTTGTTAACAAATCAACTGATTAACAACTTAACGAACACAAAATGAAATAAAAAAGGTGCATGCTGCGTGTACAGGGATGCTTCATGAAGACGGACTAACTCTCACCTGATTGGGACGTGGCCGACGTCAAAGTTTTTCATATAGTGAGAGCACTCCATGTCATCGTGGACGACACCTTTACCCGTGCTGCCAAATGTCTCGATGGCGTAAACCTCTCCCTCCTGCCGGGTGAAAACACACAATCAATAACCGGATTCTAAAAATGACTCACGGTTAGACGGATCATAAAAATGCTGAAATATCTGAGCCATAATATTCCAGACATCCGGTGAACTCACCTCCATTCTCGTTGCTTCTCCTCCTTTAACGATGGGCACAGTTTTGCCTGCATGTATTCTGTACTGACCGATTGAGTGACCGTTCAGGTTTCGGATTGGCTTCACTGGAACAGAAGAAACAAGTTTTGTAAATTAAAAAAGGCCACAACACGTTTATTACTGCATGTGTGAACTGACATCAGGGGTTTAAAGCTACTGTGCTGTTGTGATTGTACTGGTTATTAAATCTCAAGAGAGACGCGTGTGAGGAAACAAAAGCACTTTGTATACTGGTTATCAACATTTTCAGATACTGTGCAGTCGTACAGTTTCGACACCGTGTGCTCAACAATTTGAAAATAAGGTGTGGTCATTTAAATTAAAATAAAGCACTGAAAACACATCTGAAGTGTGGATTAATATTCCTCCCCCTTCATCTTCCTAATGAAGACTCTACTGAAGCCATAAACCAGAGCTACAGATGTAAACAGGACCTTCAGGTGTGTCAGATTTAGTAATATACAGCATTAGATTGGGATCAGTAATGAGCAGGAAGTCCCTTGTGTGCTGCGTGTGTAGTTAGAAGAACCTACCCTGGTATGTTTTGCCGTCGAGCTCGACCTCGTAGGACTCCATCACTTCTTGAATCGCCTCTCCGACGTCACACAGGCGCACGTCGATGCCTGCGTTCTGCCACAGACAAACAGGAAGTCGTGAGTTTCAGGCACCGCATCGAAACACAGCAGAGTGACGGTGTGTTCTCGTGTTTGTGCGTTTGTCCTACTTTGATTCCAGTATTGGTGGCGTCTCTCACGGCTTCCAGCAGCTTGTCATACTTTGGATTAAACGTGACAGTGAAGGCACAGTCAATGATTCGCCCTGCAGACAGACACCGAGCAGGAAGGAACACCTTTTAGTCCGCGTACATGTCTGCGTTTGAGTTGTTGCACAATCGGAGACATAAATCAAAGACGGAGCGTGGGACATTATTACCGACTCAGGCTATTCAGTGTGATTAATACCTCTTGTGGCAACCCATTATGGATATAGAGCGGGGCCTTGAATGCATCGCTTTTAAACATGCAGCTGAAGCAGCACTTAATTCGTGCGGTACCGTTGATGTGCGTGCCGAAGTCGATCTTGCAGACGTCGTCGTACTGCAGGACGGTGGTGTCTCCGGCGTTGGGAGTGTAGTGGGCAGCGCAGTGGTTCAGGGAGCAGCCGGTGGGGAAGGCCAGGCCGGCGTTCAACTTGTTCTCCTTTATCAGCTTACGGGAACAGTCCTCCAATCGCTCGCTGAGATGAACAAAAAGGAGAAGATTTAAGATTTTAATCGGCTATCTGCAGTTCCTGTTTGCAATGTAATCATGGATGTACACAACTATCACTGCATTACTTTGATACTGAAGAAAACCTAAAGTTCGGGGTTATACGGAGCATCCTTTTTCTATGATTGACGTCAGAGATAATCACATCTCATCTCGTATCAGTCTGAATCTAAACGTGTGTGTGTGTGTGTGTGTGTGTGTTGTACTGCTGCAGCTCCAGCCGCCTCACCAGATTTCAATCATGGTCATGCCGGGTTTCATGAAGCTGCGAACGTGCTGGCGGACTTGTCTGTGGGCCTCGGCTGCCTGTCTGAAGTCGCTCCACACCTCCTCGTTGGCTTTGTCCAGCACACGCTTCTCGTCGTTGGTCGTACGCCACGCTGCGCTGCGGCTTGGAGAAGAACACAACAATACGTCTTTTTATTCCGGGCCTCGTGAAAAGGGGAAAGTAAACTCGTTAACTAACCGCTGCAGGCAGTAACTGCTTTTACAACACAACAACAAAAGCTTCTGACTCATCAGCTGACCAGGGTCGATGAGTGAACGAAGGTTGCCACTCTTATGTAATGACACTTTCCAGGGGTTAATTATTTCAGAATTAAAGGCCGATAATTCACGTTCGGCACAGAACAACACAAAGACTTGAATGGGTTTCCTGAGCGGCAGCAGACATTTAAGGCCAACCACAACCTGCCAGATTAATACTGACCTAAATACAAGACTTTGTACCGTTCTTCATCATTTTTCCTTTGCTTTATTGTGATCAATAACTACATAACCAGTAAAAGTCAGAGGTGTTTGGAATTTTGTCTTTTGGTTGGAAAATATAAAAACACACTGCTGAACCTATTTTCCACATAAAATTCAAAGAAAAAGAAATAAAAAGTACTTTTTTTTGTTTAATTCAAGGACTTTCAAGTACTTTCCAGGTCCTGTGGCAAACCCCTGGCTAACCTGCAAGGTTTATCAACCACCGAATTTTTACCTAACACACAAATGTTGAATTTTGAATACTGCCACCTGTGAGTGGAAAATATTAAATTTATATATTATTATATGTTGATTTTAATTCATTTTAAGACTTAAAAACCCACACAAACTAGTAACATTTTAGTGCTTTTAAACAAGATACCATCAAATACAATTCTCAGTGGTTACAAAGTGCTTTACAGGAAGAGAAAAAGCAGAAAGGAGAGATAAAAGAAACAAACAAGAAGCAGAATTTTGTACAGGAATTGTAACTTGCTAAATAAAATGCATAAATTCAAAGAAAAAAGGACAATTCTTATCATTTTAAAGACGATGTGGCTTCCAGAGCTGAGGATTAACACCAGGAAATATGCTGAAATACTGGCAGAGGTTTATGTGTGCGCTCCTCTTACCCATCCTGTGATACGGGGTATTCACATTCCTGTCCGATGGGGAACGCTCCCGTTGGGTATAAATCACAGATGGGCACAGACGGGGGATCAGTCTGGGATTTGGCTGGAAGGAAAAGAGAAAACACCCCCCCCGTCAGATACCGCTGCGGTATGAACAAACGGTTTTATTTGCACCTCAAACGACTCAAATCGAGGTCAACTCACGTCCTTTCTTCTTCTTTTTCTTCTTTTTCTTCTTCCCTGCCGAGTTTTCGCCATCGTCTCCATCTGTGCGAGGGAAAGAAACGCCGATTACGCCGAGCGCGAGGTTTACGCGGTGTGTGTGTGTGTGTGTGTGTTGGTAGGAGATTATGTGGGTTATGTTAGATAATCACCTTCCTCGCCGTCCTCCTCCTTCTCTTTGTCCTCTATCGCCTGTTTCTCCAGCTGTTTGGTCACCTCGGACACGCCGTCGGCCTCGGGCTCGGCGCCTGCGGCAGCGAGAGGAAGAACGCACACACACACACAATCCAATAAGCGATCAACCAGCGGCAGTCAGAAGCTGCTGTTTCAGCACTGGCAGCAGAAAGTAGAGGAGGGAAAACAACAAAGACACAAACATTCATTCTTCTACAGGCGTCGTCCTCTAGAGCCGGATTCTTCCTTCTGCAATAATACACTTTAACTTCTGTTCAGAAATACTGTATTTATTTGTACAATTCTATTTCATTCTGTTATTTAACGTGCATTTCTTCTTTTCTTCAGTGTGGGATCAATAAAGTCCGTCTCTCCCGATACCAATCTGACACCAGAACTCCCTTTCTCCCCCGAATTTAAAATCTTTATACTCCACACGTCTCCGTACGACTCGCTCTGCCTCTGAGCCACATAAAAGACGACACGTATTTTTATTTACCGATCATTTATTGGCTGTAATTTAATCACCCCGATCACTCATAACACTATACATTTCCCCCTCATCTGGCCCTGATAACTGTCGTGCATCCCTGTGTTTAATGTGGATCCGTCAAACCCAATAATTATATATTTAAATGTAAAATATTAAACGTTACAGCATCAATTCAAACATGAATATAATATACAGATCTGGAGTTAATAATAGGAGGAAATGAGCAGCTGATTTTGTTGTTTCTGTGTGTGTTGCTGCTGTTTGATAGTTAATTACTCTAACTCACTTTTTAAACAATAAATCCAAACAAAAACCGTACTTTACTCATTACATCAGCCCGAACACTGCGTCTCTCTGCGTTTTAACTATTTATTCTTTCCCCACAACAAGTTTGTATTCAGCGAAGTGACATTTTAAAGCTGCAGCAATAAAACAACTAAAAAAAACAACAAGGATTTTGATTTAATAACCAGGAATAAACCTCCTTTAAACGCCCCTGGGCTTGTGTTCTGTAAGCTGTACACATTTATTAAAACGTCTCGTTGCAGGTGATTTAACAGTTTGACTTCCAGGTCCATAATGTTTTTTTATGTCTTCTTTTTCTTACATAATAACTCTGGCAAAAAAAAAAGAAAAGGGGGAATTACGAAACAGGAAAACTTGGCTGAGACTCTAAAGCTAAAACAGCTGCTGAAACAAACACTTAATGGTCGGATTGTTGTGTTTTCTCTTATTTAAGGAGGTAAAATGTTTGTTCCACCAGCTGCGTTCAGTGTCACTGCTCCTGGATGTGGATCTGACCAAAGCCCGGACGGTTTCATGAGGCCTGAATACAGAAACAACCGCACTGCTCTCGACCCGCATGGATAATGAGGAGGAGCGTCAAGTTGGACGTGCTTCAACAGCGGCTTTCCGGCTTGACTTTCAAAATAAACGTCAAAATGTAGAGCTTTTTAGATAGATCAAAAGAAATAAAGAAAGATAGATGGATAAATATAAAGATAGTACTTTTTTTTAATGAGTGACATGCTGAAGTGTAGCACTGTCAGTCTGACCAACATAAATGTTAATTAAAACTTAATTAACTATATATAAATGTAATATTATTACCTCAATCCACACACTTTTTTCCTTTTCAAAAAGCTAACAATTGTGTGCCCTTCGATATTACTATTATAAGTTATATCTTATCTTTTATCTTCTTTTTGATTCTGTTCTTAAGGTCAGGGTTTTAAATAAACGATCTATTACTATTTTTCTTATTTCATGTTATTAAAAAAAGAAGTCTTCCCGTTTTGTGTTGAATTGGATGCTTTATTTCTTTAATTTTAGTTGGAAAAACACGAAACAAAACGTACTTTTACATGTATAATATATGTTTCGTATTTTTAATATAACAAACCGAATGAAATGTAGAGAATAACAACATTTCTGTGGTCTGTACGACTTATAATCTGGTCAATGTACTGCTAAATAATATAGTTTTAAAGTTAGACAACAGATAATAGACAATGGACAATTTCTACATCCATTTGCACTGTTTTACTATATATATAATATTTAATATTTAAATCTTTTACTTTATTTTTAATTTTATTCTTAGGATTAAGGTTCTTAACAATCTGGTCATAAAAATACAGTCTCCAAGCACCTTTTACATAATCTGTTCACTGCACCTTATATTTTTACTTTGCACTACAATTATACCGCTTATTTATACATTTTATATATTTTGCTTTTTTCGATAAGTCTATGTTAATCTCTGTACTTCATTGTGTCGTTACTGTGTGTAAAGCTGCTGCTACACTGCAATTTCCCAGTTTGGGATCAATAAAGTACATCTATATATCCATCTATATCTATAAATAATTATAGTTTAATGTATGTTTAATGTATGTAATGCATGTTTTGTATTTTGTATGCTACTGTATACTTGGATTTCTCTCGGGATAAATAAAGTATCTATCTAGTTTTTAAAAAATTAAATGAGGAACACATATTTTTTATTTTTTTATTTTATTATTTATTTATTTATATATATATTACACTGTTTTTGCACTGCTATTGGAGTTGACTTTTAATCTCATTGCACACGTATATAGTGACAATAAAGGCATTCCATTCTATTTGTACACCTTTATTTTGAAGGCCGAGCCCTGGTTTCCGGGTCAGTCGCGGCTCACTGCCGCTAACTTTAGCCGCCCGCTAGCCTCGTTAGCTCAAAGCAAACCTCACCTGTCGTCGCGGACTTGTTCTTCTTCCTCTTTTTCTTCTTCTTTTTCGCCGCCTCCTCCACGGGCTCGGCCTCCTCCCGGTCCTCCGCCTCCCCGTTCAGCTTCCTCGGTTTGGTCTGTGTTCGTCTTGTCTGGTTTGCCCCGGTTCCCTGGTCCCGTGGTCCGGTTCCTGGTCCCGCTTCGGCAAACACTCCGCCATAAAATCACAGGCGCTGCTGGAAAAAGGCAGCGCGGTGCACTGTGGGTAAGTGCTGTTGTGCGCTGTGCGTTCAGGGACATCGGTTTTTTTTTTTTTTTTTTTTTTAGAACTTTTTTCATTTAAAAAAGAAAGAAGAAAGAAAGAAACCTTTATTGATCCTTTATTGATTTATTTGGGAAGTAAAAAGATACCGTTTTTCTTTATTGTTATATACACTGTAATAATTATATTTTATTTCATCATGTAAATACCAGTGCTTTAATTCTTGTTTTGTCGTTTGTTTTATGTTTCTTGTTGATTTGTTGATTGTTTATTTATAGTCTTGTTGATTGTTTATTTATGTCTTGTTGATTGTTGTTTGTCCGTTTGTTTTTATGTCTTGTTGATTGTTATTGTTTATTTAATGTCTTGGTTGATTGTTGATTGTCATTTATTTTATGTCTTGTTGATTGTTGATTGTTTATTATGTCTTGTTGATTGTTGATTTGTTTATTTATGTCTTGTTGATTGAATTGTTTTATTTTGTCTTGTTGATTGTTGATTGTCGTTTATTTTAATGTCTTGTTGATTGTCGTTTTGTTTGTCTTGTTGATTGTTTATTGTCGTTTATTTTTGTCATTGTGATTGTCGTTTTATTTTTTATGCTTGTTGATTGTCGTTTATTTTATGTCTTGTTGATTGGTTAATTATATAAATATGCAAAAGGTTTGTGCGTTGTAGGTAGAGTTTTAAACCAGTCTTTGTCTGCGGGGGTTGGAGGTACTGGGAGCTGTGGCGTAAAAGAAAAGTTAGGAACACGTAAGCAGAAGATATAATGTAATACATCATCTGGACCAACTTTATTGTATACACTATTATATTTTATATTCTATTATATTTGCTGTTTGCACTACATTTCCCCTGTGCTGCTGTATTTAACTTGAATTTCTCCTACAGGGGCCCAATAAAGGAACATCTCATCTCATCTTATCTTATAATTGAGGCTGTTATTATAATGTTATGATGCAGGTTAAATACCCCTGCCATTTAAGTTTATATGTTGCTTTTAGTGGTGCGTACAGTAGCAAGAAATGAGAAATGCTACAGACTTTGGTCCCCTTTTGAGGGTTAAGGCCCTAATCAGGTTTGGCTGCTATATTTTTCTCTTTTTTTACTATTTGTTTAACAAATAAACACATTAAATTACGTTTTAATGATTCAAAAACACGTGAAAAAGAAGTTCTATCACATTTTGTGCTCTAACGAACGCACCCAAACATCATATCCAAAACATTTGCAAGCTCATGACCGAGCGTGATCAGAAATCGGAGCCTATTGAGTGCACGTGAAGGCAGCAGAAAGTAAAACATGCAGAATCAGCTGAAGGGCAGATTGTGCAGTGAGCAGTGAGCAGTGAGCAGTGAGAGGAAATAACCCGTGGAGATCTCAAATATCATCAATACACTGCAAACAAGAGAGATCGGAGGCTGCGACGTTAACTGGCATAAATAAAACCAAACTGATTAAAGCTGTGAGCAAAGTAAATAGAACAACACATAAGATTGTACATGGTTATTTATTTAAAGTTAATTTTCACACAGAAATACGCAAATATTTTAAGTTTGGCACCCAAAAATCTACATTTGCCCCAAGCAGCAGTGAGTCACAGAATTGACCACTAGGTGGCCACACAACAACAGTAAACAACCTAATAAAATAATGTTACTATTAAAGCCGTGTGGTGTTTTATATTTAGAAGCATGTATGCAAATTGCTGCAGTTTCAGTATGTGTGGCTTTAGAGAGAGTCAGATCCTCGGCTGATGCCTTTAATGCCAAACTAGAGCTACAGTTACTGAAATATGGAGCTTCCCTTCTTAAAAAGCATTAAATCCAAAGACAGGCCACTCACATGCTCTGTCTTTTAGTCCACTACATCAGGTCTGTGTAAGTCTCCGCAGGCAGGAGCGGCTTTAAAAAGAGGGGGAGCACCAGCTGTTTGAGGGTGAGACGAATGCAAAATCCCATAAAACATATCAGGTAACTCACCAAACCTGTTTCCTACCTCCCCCCCACCCGTGAGAGTATCTGAAACACGAGCGCCAGAAAAAAAAGACTTCAGGATACAACGAACACTTCCAGAACGGTATTTTATTTCAGGTTGGAAAATGCAGGAAGGGGGTTTGGGGGCGGTTAGACCCCATCACGAGTCAGGACAAGGCAGACATGGTGACAAGACTGGGAAGGTGGAGGAAGAGGGGAAAGAGAGGGGGGGCATACACCAGGGCTGTCAGACTCTTATGGCAACTTCATATGAAACATAAAGTTACAGATTGCCCTCACATGAGAGAAAATCAACCTCTTTTTATCTGTTTTTTTTAAATTACCCGTACAGGTATTCGATTTCAAACCTCACAGCAGCACACAATTCAGTCCATAAAGTGTCAAGTTCCTTATCTTTCCGCCGAGTGTGCCCCTGTAAACACAGACGCTTTAAAAAAAACAAAACAAAAAAAGGGAGTTTCAGTCCTTTATGAGTTCTTCTTAGATACGATAGTGTCGTATTCGAAATAGGATCGTGTCGGAGTAACTGTTACCTTGTTTTCCACTCAGAGAGTAGAGAGATGGTTAAAAATAAAGCGCTGATAGTAAAAATAGCATCTCACTTCCTCTTCTTGTAGAGCTCCCTCACTTTGGCTTCGTTCACACTGCAAAGTCTCAAGCGCTCAATTAGGATTGATTAAAAACTCTGATTTGGGCCTTTGTGTGTTTACATTTATCTGCCTGTAAGAAGTAACGTCAGCTGGGTTCAACCTTCTGCTTTGTGTTCAGATAGAAGCGAAAAGTTTCGGCTTGCAAATTCGCCGGATCGGGTCGTTTACTCGACCCAAAACATCCAACGCACCAACTGCAGTGGCGGAAAGTAGAAAGTACATTCGAGTACTGAAGTTAAAGTACAATTTTGAGTCTCTGAAATCCTGAAAAATCTTTTACATTTATTTAAAAACATGTCCTGAAATGAATTATTATGCGTAACAAGCACTTGTATTGCCGTCACGACATTTCTCTGGCAATAATTCGGTTCTGTTGGATACTGAATGCAGGACTTTTGACTTTATACTATGTAGTCTAGTTACTTTTACTAGTTTCATTCTGTGTCGATTCTGGCGGTCTCTGTGGACAACAGCGGTAGTGTTTCCATCGTCTCTTTTCATTGATTTCAAGGGGAATCCGACCTGATAGCAGGCGTAAAGCCAATATTCCCGCTCATGGTTTTGTTTGCTTATTTAGGTGAAATAAATGTAGTGTTACAGCGGTTCGCTCTCTCTCCACTTTCCTCTAATCTCTGTATGTTTCATAAAGCCTCGGGAGAAGCTTGACTTTCTGGTTTAAGATTCCGCATTTTAAAATCACGTGGACAGGTTTTCGCTTTGATTCCCCGGGCGACTGCGTGTCTGATCGCATACGTCTTTACGTTCTGTCTGAACACAGGACTACGACTGTATCTCAGAATAATACTCAGCCTCCTTCCAGCCCAAAACTTCCTCACGGTAACTCAGACTGGAGCGGTTTGTTTACAGCGACTTTATGAGAAAACCGCAATACAAAAATCGTCTCAAACAATCCTATATCACATCGTTACACGTGTTCTTACGCGTGGCGCCCGTCACGTTTCTCGCAGCCTTTGTTTCTACTGATTGTGACCAATATACACTATGTGGATGTAACCAAGTAATCTGTAGACATTCTCATCTTCTGACCTTAACACTGTAAGGTCGTGGTTTGTTTTTAGTGGTTCTGGTACCTGAGTTTTAACAGCAAAAGAGCAGTAAGAATCGTGGGTAATGTACAGTAACGTGGACGGATGGGTAATAGAGAGTGGCGTAAAATTTTTGAGGTACCTCCACACCAAAAGACAGTTTAGATGTAACACAGACCCATCGATAAAAGACACCCAGACAATCACACATAAATACAGTCTCTGCTCAGTGCTCGGTTAAAGCAGCGGGGTTTCATTTCAGTCCTTCTCGGGCATTCGTCTGTCGCTCTCCTCCTCCTCCTCCTCCTCCTCCTCCTCGTCGTCTCCGAACGTCTGCTCCTCCATTTTGATGAGTGATTGTGAGCGAGCCGCCACCTGAGAGGCGAGGGCGGAGCTGAAGCTGAGGGCCTCCGAGCCGTGGATCTCCGTCAGTCTGTCCATTACAGAGACAGCAGGGACTTTAGGGACCAGGAAGCAGTCCAGACCGTTCTCGGTGTCCCCTTCCGCCAGGACGCCGTCGTATTGGTGCAGCTCGGACGCTCCTCCCCCTCCTCTTGTGCAGACCGAAGCTCCTCCCAACTCCCCTTCCTTTGCCTCCAAACCGCAGCTGAACTCCATCGCCGCCTCTGTGGAGGGGTCAGGCCTCGCCCTGCCATCTCTTCCTTCCTCTTCCTCCCCTTCGCTTCCTGCAGGGCACTCTGAAAGGTGGTTTCCTTCTTCATCGCCAGTTTCTACTGATCCCAGAGAAGTCGGAGCGTCACACAGCTTTGTGACGGGATCTGAACTCTCACTGTGAGCTGAAGGCGTCACAGCAGCTGCAAGAAAGAAGAGGAAATATATCATTTAGGGTTGAACTCGTTGATTTTCTGATTCTCAAAGACTGGAGAACAACAAATGCATCTTGCTTTCAAAGACAATTACAAATTGATTCTTGTCGTACATGTGGAAAAACTCAGTAGCGTTTTAGAGATTACCCTTTATTCTCAATTTAACTATTATTGCTTTTTGGTTTGTTGCTTTTGCAGTAAGAGTGTTATTGTCTGTAGTTTGATTAGACATGAAAAAGAAAAGAATAAAAATAACAAAACAAACAAACAAACAAACCGCAGCCTCATTCCAAAAATATGAACAATACCAGCAAATTTATCAGAGCAGAGACATGACACGGGTCAGTGCAGACCTTGGTCGTTGAAGAGCAGCTGCTTCCTCTTCATCCTCTCCCCCTCTGACGCGCGGAAGCCCAGGACAGCTTTGAGCTCTGACAGGACGCGACGGGACTCCTCCCTCTCCCGGCGCTGCCGCTCCCGTTCCTCCGGTGACAACATGTCAGACCAAGACCCTCGGCCTTCACCGTCGGAGTCGGAGTCGGACACGTAGGCCTCCCACTCCTGGTCAGGTGAAACAGCAGGAGGAGTTGACATCAGGGACACAGATGAGGAGGATCGGGATGGAAAAGAAGAAGTTATTTCATGTTTTTAAAGGAAATCTTGACTGCGTTGAGGGAGTTCTGGTGTGAATATAAATAAATACAGGTATAAATAGAGGCACACAATGCAACATGTCAGACAGAAGGTGGTCATTTCATTTTACCAGCTCTTCTGGGACAGGGTCTCTGTCCAGGATCAACGGGTAGGATGGAGGAGAAGCTGGAATCTCGGGTTCGGGGGTACCACACTGCTCCGGACACTCATTATTACCTGCAGAGATGTTGTGCACCGACGTTATTGTAACAAAAACAACTGATGACCTCAACAACTTGGTGCTGGAGCTCGGTCACTCTGGTTGGTCTGTTTCTTGTCCTATATTCTGAGTTCCTTCCTCCACGACTGGCAATAGTCTTGAGTCACGGTAAAGGAAGGAGGGACTCAAAAAAGAAAACTTCCTGCAGTAAAAATAGGCCCTGTGTAAATATAACCCTGTATATACCCCTAAAGAGGGTGTCACTGTGATTTGTATGTATTTTATGGCATATTGAGAAAATATATGAGGAAAAAGTGGTGAACTGGCATTGAACCTTAAAAGGATAAAAACAACGGGGTATTTTAATACACTAGGCTGTGTTTGTGTTTGGAACCAGCTCACCTGGACAGGCGTTGGCCCGTCTCATCATGCGCTCCACCTGGGTGATGGTGTCCTCCCAGCAGCCGGTGCTGGCCTGCATGTGAGGGTGCAGCTGGTGCAGCCGGTCGCTGAGGTCTTGGTATCCTTCGAACGTCAACTCCGTCGGCTCCTTGGACACCATCAGTTTCTCCAGGTCGTCCTCCAGTATGATCATCCTGACGGTAGCAAGAACAGAAGAGGAGGAGGAAAGTTGACAGTACAGATTGAGTGTAAACTTTTACGCCGTTTTCACAACTTTATGTTATGTTGCTGTGAAATTGCTGTAATTTTTCATTTTTTAGTCCAATGTAGCACTACTTGGCTCAATGTGGAATTGGTGTAATCCATATTTCTTACTTTTTATATATATTTCTACTACAGCTTCAATTTCTATACCCTTATTTATGTCTTTACTCTTCACTATGTACTATTATTGCTCTGCTGATGGATTGACCCAGTTTCCCCACACTAGTCATTAAAGTCTCATCTCATGTGAAGTGTAGATTGTGTGTGTGTGTGTGTGTCTCTCACTCGCTGAGCAGGGCTTTGAGGTGCAGCTGCAGGCTTCGGATAGAAGTGTGCAGGGTGTTGAGCTCTCGGCATTTCTCCCTGACTCTCCCCGTCCTGTCGGAGCCCGTCGTCCTCAGCTGGGTCTCAAAGTGTCGATGGAAGTCGTAGCTGCGCTGCACTTCTCCGAGGCAGCTGGCCAGAGCGTGACTGAGGGGCTCGGTCACTGCGGCGATGGACCTGTGCAGCAGCGGGGGAGGAGGAGGAGGAGGAGAGGAAGTGTCCCCTTTGGGTGCTCCCTCTTCTGGCTCTTCTATTCTTCGGGGCGACAGCAGGAGAGCCAGTCGCCGGAAACATTCAGAGCTTTGTCCCACCCACAGCTGGAACAGCATCTGCAGGACAAAACAACAAACATCAACCGTACTGATTTATAAATATAGTAGAAGCCCTTCATCATAATGCCAGTCTTTGCTTTGACTTGTGTTTTTAGCTGCCAATAGTTTCAGTCCTTTTACTTAAAGAGCAAAATGAGGGGAGTTCATGAATATATGTGCTTTTGTGTCCCGCTACTCAAACGCTATGTGATAAAGCTGTAAGCGTTTGAAAGATACTGAGCTTACAGATGGACAGCGGAGTCCATGTGGATTAAGATTAAGCTTTTTCCCTTTATATCGAGAGTTAGATGAGAAGATCATCACCACTCTCACGTCAGTAATATATATATATATATATATTACACTATTTCTTTAATATAGTATTCTTCACGTAGGAGAAAACTACACAATTTTACAGCTACATTCAAGCCTGCATCCCTGCATATCCTTCATATCACAATGGTTAACTCCACTCCTGCACTAGTGCTCCACCCATTACCAGTAGCCTGTGTTTGATCCTCAGGCCTTACCTTCAGCGCAGGCAGGCTGTAGTCATCCGTCAGCTCCTGAGCCTGCTCATCACCCAGGTGCTCAATCCCCAGGCCGAGCCCCAGCTCCTTCAGAGGCACCGCAGACACGTAGTTGGTCACATTATCGATCTCAGAGTTCAGAGGGAACGTTGGGAGGGGTTAAGGACACATCACACTTCTGTGTGCACCTATTCTTGACTCATAAAAAGATTACCTCACGTTTATAGAGGCCTATTTCATATTTCAAATGCACATTTATGACTTTAAATTGTCAACAATTTAATGACATCAAAAGAGGTCAGGTCAGATGTTATGCGGCTGACTGTTGTTCGACTAATACGGAATAAGAGGAAGGAATTGTTTGTCAAAATATAAACTTCTGCCAGTTTATTAAAACAAGTCTTTGTTGAAACAGTGTTTATACACTCTGCTTTAACTAATAACACCAAAGGCAGGTTAGTTACTCCCGTGTCACTACAAAAGAAGACAGACTTATTTGAGTTATTAAGCCTCATTCTCCAGATAAAGGATATGCCTTGAGCATGTGACAGGTGGCTCTACGTGAGGCTCTGAAGGCTGAGCGGAGGGCCCGGTACAGCGTCTTCCTCAGTCCGATCAGCTGCTGGCCTCGTGGCATCGCCCCCGGCCCCGCCCTGCTAAAGGAGCTGGCCGCACTCACCCTGTCGAGCAAACTTGACAAGTGAAATGTGATACAACTGTGGAGACGTCCCAAAGAGGCAGGGGGGTACACACAACACTGAACGCCACATCACTAAAGACAACACCGACAAACTGAGACAGGAGTGACGAACAAGACAATATGAATGCAAATATTTGGGAAACACGCTTTGCTTTTTAAGTTACACGATAAGATCGATAGCACTATTACGTCTGTGTCGTAAATATGAAGCTTAGAACAAAGGCTGGAAACAAATAGCCAGGCTCTAAAGGTAACAAAATCTACCTCCCAGCACTTCTAAACTCAATAATTAACACGTTGTGTCTCATTTGTTTAATGTGTCCGAAAAACCGAAGTAGGGAGATTTTGTTACCTGTTAAGTTAAGCAAATCAGCTGCTGCTTTAACTTCATATTTACGACACAGACGTAAGAGTGGCGTTGAACGTCTCGTCTAACTCTCAGCAAAAAAAGCGAACGTTCCCAAAACTATTCCTCGAACTTACTTGGTGATTGAGGTGTAGATGTTTTTATATAGACAATGCTATAGCTATACACACAGACAGAGACAAACAAACAGTGGTCTAAAATAAGTGCTAACATAAATAATTAAACACCACTAGATAGCTGAGAAGGTAAGTTAACTAACACACAGAGGAGTGAATTAAGGGAGCAGGCTTGATCCAGGCAGTTGGAGACATGATAAGGAATGCGCATTATCATTATAGTGATTGGGTGATATTCATGTAGGCGGACACACAAAAAACAAAAAAACCAGAACACTTACAGGGTGAACCCTCGAGAGATGACCTCCGTCTCCTGCACCAATCGCAGGGCTTTGCGAGACAGTCCGGTCAGAGTCTTGCTGTTGTGGACCAGAGCCTGGAGCTGCGTGGCTCGCGTGTGGACGGCTCTCTGCATGCGGCCCCGTCTCCACAGCATGATCCCCCGCAGCCCCACCCAGCCCAGCATCACCAGGCCCCACGGGGCCGCAGCCAGCGACCACAGGCCGTCGGATGCAGAGCAGAGACCCAGCAGCACAGCGGTCAGGCCGATTAAACCCGCCATGTCCCTGAGTGAGGAGAACGGGAAGTAATTTTTATAAGTGCAACCACTATCGGCTAATTTAACAGATTAGTTCTACAAAAGTTAATTTACAAGATGAAAATTAACTTTTCTATTGAAAACAGATGTATCACGTCTTCTGTGGCTCTAAAGGATCTCTCAATAAAAACATTTAAAATATTTTATTTTAATATAATCATACTGCTTACTTTTATCGCCCAACCTACACCTACTAATATCACACAAGCCAATACTTCTTTGTAGAGACTTTTCCCTCGAATAAAACATCACAGCTGACATGTTTACTTCTGTGAAGAAGGTCACGAGGTCACTCTATTGTTGTGGAGGCTTTGGAGTTTCAGTTTGTACTACTGTTGTATTGGAAATGCATTATATTCTCCGGAGAGCCAATTATCATGTTGCCCATTCACTGTACAGCTGTGTGATTCTTTCCAAACAATGTACCATAGGGAGGGCTTGGCTATGAGGCTGGGTCTGGGCAGGGCGCTCGCTCGGCTGCACGAGCCAGAGGGCGACGAGTCGAGGGTGAGCAGACTGGGGTCCAGCAGCTCGATCAGCTCCACGTCCTCCTGCAGCAGCACGTCCTGGTCTAAAATGCACTTCACCGAGTACTGGCCGAACACACAGTCCTACCAGAAAGAAGAAACGTGTGAAAAAGTGCTTAGAAAGAAGAGATGCCTTTGAAAATAAAACAAGGTGAAGTTGCAGATTTCAGTGCCAGCGTTCCTCTCCGTTTGCTATTCGACCTACCAGCTGCTGCCCCAGCTTACGGGACGCAGCCGCCTGGTGAATCGGACTCCATCTCCACAAGGCTTCAGCCAGTCTCCAGAAGCGTCCTCCCTGCAAGTGACAAACAGGGGAAAGGTTATAATTCAGTCAATGAAGGAAAGGCTCCAGTTTTATGTAGGGATTTCCATTATTTTATCCCCTGATGCAGCCAAAGTATATTCCAGATACAAATAATAAATGACTCACCTTTCCTCTAGCTCGGCTCTATTTGTCAGGAATCACACATCCATTAAATAACTGTCTGCACTCACAAACGTACACACTCGTGGTTCAAAGGAGTATCCCAGGAGACAAACTCTTTCAGGCAACAACAATAAGTGCAATGTGTGTTTGTAAAAACACTCCCTCCCCGCTCTTATATAGCTCTTCTGTGGCACAAAAAAAAAAACCACACAGCCAGTTTCAGTTTTCAGTGAATTCCCATTTCGGCATCAGTAAAACTCGGACTTTTATTGTTGTCAGACGGAAAGGAAGAATTCTTTTAGTTCCAAAAAGGAAAAAAGTTTGTACGTCTTCCACTGAAGACACTACACAGAAACTACACACACACACACACACACACACACACACACACACTTCTGTTTTAATTCTTGCTTCCTATGAGACTCCAGCCATGAATTCCCTCTGTAAACAGTCTGAGACAACCAGTCCCAACCAAGTGTAACACTGTGCCTCACATTTTAAAGTGCACTGACATTTCGATGCATGAAACTTCAGGCTGTTCTTTTTTTGTGCTAAGACCCTAAAAACAAAATCCCAAACTGTGTAATGCCTAATCATGAACAGGATCTGCTATTCACTAATCTGCTTAGTGTTTCGTGGGCGTCCATGAAATGCTTTATTTGAACATGGGACTCATTTTATGTTGAGGTTTTAATAATAATAATAATAATACAGCCATTATTTTTCTGTTCATGTTAAAATAAAAGAAGACAGTCCTGAGAATCATAACATCCTGTAAAGTGTGTGTGCGCTCCAGTTCACAGCAGACTCATGGGGCGATTGATCCAGACTGGGCAGCCTGACCTTTTTCTGGGTGGGGGGAGCGTAAAGCACAAGTGTTATTAGTCTAAAGGCAGCAGGAGTATTGATTACTGATTGGAGACTGAGCATTCACACAACACTGGTCATCAGCCTCAAAGTAGGCCACAAATCTGCTCAGTTTTCTCTCTGTAGTATCAAAGCGGTTAATCCCATCCGGTACTACCACAGAGATGATGTAAACATTGTACAGATTCACTCACATATGTTATCTGATACGCTCTAATCTGTCTGTTCAGTATAAAGCTAGAGCGAAGAGATGTGACATTAGTTTAGGATAAAGACTGGAAAAAGGGAACAAAATCCACCTACTAACTAAAATTATTTACACGTTATATATCTTGTTTAATGCGTATAAAAAGTTAAGTGTAGAAACATCCAGTTGAGTTTTTACGAGACGGTTGTGTGTCTGATTACTGATTAATCGTTAAAGTCACTTATCAGCTTCTGAGTTGTGAAATTTTGGCTGATTTTCTCTCGCTGATACAACTGTGAACTGAATATCTCTAAAGCCTCGTGAAGAAGACTTTGCTTTGGGCTCTTTGGCCAATTTTGTCCAATTTTACAGACTACACAAATAACTGATGAATCAATAATGAAAATAATAATTACTCGCAGCCCTTAAAGCCTGTATACTGTACATGGAGATTAGGAGAAAAGGGATTGGAGCAGCTTAGAACTGGTACGTACTGTGAACCAGTTTATATACTGGTTTAGAGCAGATTAATTGACAATGAAAATGATTGTTAGCTGCAGCCCTATAAGTACTTTTATGATCATTTATTTGCTTATTCAGTATTACCACAAATAAATAACTAAACTAAATATCCATTAAAACTATATTTTATTTATTTAGAAAAAAAATCAACCTAACATCCAGGACCGGAGCGGACAGCATCACGAGCTTCTTCCCTGCCACAGTGAGACAAAACAAAATGAACTGACCTACCTCATAACATATCATATTATATTATGTTATCTCCGGGGCCTCTGAAATATGCAAATTTTACACTTCTATATAGGGTTTTGTGCAATTTATAATGCTCTCACTTTCTCTTTTATAATCGGGGCTTATGCACTTTCTTTTTATTTCTAGAGAAGTATATGTTTTATAGATTTATGTGTCTTT